CATGTGTGCCTTTGATCATGTGAATAAACACTGATGGATGAGCACACATCTTTGACAATTTTTGCCAGTTTATGACATAATGAGGAAAATAAGGACCATGTGTTGAATCATTAAACTAAATAATTAAATTTATATGACTGTCCTGTATTCTAAGATTATCTTCTTATAATTTATACGGATTTTTTAAAGCTAGTATCGCTTTGCGGATACTGTCATCACCCACTCTGAATTTTTTCCGCACTGCTCTATTATATTCAGAAGACCGGGATTCATTGCATGAGACTATGAAAGACTATCAAAATGGCATGCTTTTTTTCCTGAACAGTGGTCAAGCTCCGCATGTGATCTATCACTTAAATTTGCAACATGTTACTATAAATCATAGAATGTTACATTATAACCAGAGTTAAGAAAAGTTTACTAATGATTTTTTTTTTTACTAACTGAAACAAAGTTGTAGGTAAGTGTGCAGAGAAAATGTTTTAGTAACGTTGTTATCTTCCTTGTCTCCTAGCTTAATGGGTTTTAAAAATAAACAAGGTAACTCAATGATATCAAATTTGGTACTTTTTTCAGCACTAGTATAGGTAACAATTTACAAATGAAGTAAATTTCCCTAGCTTGGCATTTTGTTTGTTTTTCATTCAAAGCATGTACAATTTGTAATTTTTTCATTTGTCTTTAATTTTGTTTTGTTTTGTTTTTTTGCCTGCCTTCCCTAAGTAATAGTTAACCTCTATGAGGGCAGAAATAATTTTGGTCTTGTACACCATTGTAGTCCCAGCATTTAGTAAATGCTAAGAAAATATTTATTGGATATAAATGATGTTGTTCAGGAAACTGAACTTACTGAGCATTTACTATGTGCCAGACAATGACGGTACTAGATATTTTGAATGTCACTATGTCTTGCAAATCAAGACAATGTATGAATATGATTTATTATTTATTCTTTTTAAAACATAATTCCTAAAGACCTAAGAGTAGCTATATGTGAGTGTCTTCTTCTCCCCTAGTGAGATACATGTCTTATGTCCCCCCCACCAGCACACCCCCCCCCACTTGTTCTTTTCCTTTATCAGCATCATCAAGGAAGGAAGGAAACAGTGAAGAGTAGGGCCTGCCAGTGTAGAAGCTAGCAGGAAGATCACTTAGCTTTCATTTTTTTCTTTTCTAAATAATCTGTAGACAGTTTCCTGGTTTAATATCCACTGACATTTCTTTAAATTTGTTCACTCAGTTCTTCCAAATACTACTTTGATGATATTTTGTAACCAAATAGCTAGAAAATATCCCTTACTGGCCTAGAAAAAGTGTGTCTAATTACAGAAGGTATAAATGTGGCCCATGCTCAGGGATGCCCATACTTTTTATTCTGAATGATTTTAGATTTACAGGTAAGTTGCAAACACTGTATGGGGTTGCTTATATACACTTCACCCAGCTTTGCCTAATGTTACTCTCTTACATAATAATGGCTCTAGTACTATTTTTGACCCTACTATACTGTCCCTGTGGTCACTAGTGATGCTGAATATGTTCTGTTTGCCCCTCTAGGTCCATACTCCATCTTATACACCCTCTTACATGCCACAGGAGGTTCACTGGGACATATTTTATCCGTATGCTCCCTTCCCTTTTGGCTTCTGATTGGATCCGCCAATGAAGCAGCAAGAAACTGGAGGGCAGGGTATTTATTTCCAACCCCCCTACCTCCTGACCCAAAGAATTTTATTTCTGCAGAAACATCCCTTTACCAAATCCACAACAAAGCCCTGCGACATCTCTTCCACTCCAGTCATGCTTTATGCCTGGATACCTGCTCCCACACGCTGGTCTCTCCAGGCCTATGGATGGTGAGAACTCTCTGCTGTCACTAACCCTGGGATGCTTTGACATCCGTAGTTTTTTCCTTAATCTTACTTATAGTTCTTAAACAATTCCCTTTTTAAATTCCCCCTCACTACCCCCAGATAACTGTGCGATCTGATTTTTTTCCCCAGAGACAATGATTGGTAACCTAACCAAAGTGATATTACTTTAAAATTGATTTTCTCTTAAGAAAATGTAAGGGAATATATCCTTTTACTCTGACACACCAAGTTGAGATTATTCATGTAAATGTTTCTACCAAACAGAGCTCCAAGTCATGCCATTCACAAGTGCAATATTATGAATCAATCACTGAAATTACTTCATACGTTTAGCTTGCTCAAGAGTCAAGGAGACAATTACAGCACAGCCAATAAGCTGCCATGTATATATCACAGCAACTCTAGTGATAATCAATAGGGTTTCAGTTGGAACCTGTCCTCCAGAACCAGTGGGGGCAAGCATCTGTGCCAAGCCCCTCCCCACCACCACCACCCCCATCATCTGATACCCATTCTGGCCATGAGTGCTTTGGACAGAAACTGTCATTTCAGTTAGAGGAAATTATCTCTCTCGGCAGGGATTGGAGGTCACATCTACAGTTTTAAATTATGAACTACATTAGAATAAATATGTTATCGACATAGACAGTAGATTGCTTAAAAATTAGAGGTATGAGACATACCAGGCAATTTCATCCCCACAACTGGATTCAATATTTAGTTGGCAAGTTCAGAGTAGGATGGACAAGCTTCAAGTCTGCACCCAATTTCCTTAATCAGACTCTTCACCTATCCAACTGCTTCTCCACAGATAATGAAAGTGAAGATCAGTGGGGATGCCTACAGCATCTACCCTGACAAAGAGCAGGGGACCCAGGAGATCTGAAGATCTAAGAGGCCAGAGTCAAAGCAAGCAGACTGTATCTCTGGCACAATGCCAAATGCAAAGAGCCAATTACAAAAGGAGACCAAGTTGTAACCTGTAGACTCCTGTCACCGCTCTCCCAGGTAGCAGCCTGCTGCAACCCTAAGTCCTCACCTATAAAACCTTAAACTGAAGGTTGTTGCTCTTCCCCCTCCCTCCCTCCCCAAGTATGGATTCAGTTTTCCTAACATCTCCTTCAGGGTTGTACCATATTCTACTTATTTTACCCATATCAAACGAAAATCTGACAGCATTTTAGCATTTCTACTGTGGAGCGAAGAAACAAAGCTTTCTTTGGAGAACAAAATACATTACAGCCAACAGAAAACTGAAGAAAACATTTTAAAATGCCAACATCAGGGGGAAATTATTATTTTTTCCTTTAAGGGCATTTCCCTACTCTTGTACAACAATTGATAGATAGAGGAAAGTGAGCAACAATTCAGTTCTGCTTTCCGTGGCCCATGAAATTCAGCCACCCACAGGCATTTATTTTAAAATAAGTCAGAGTCCATTGCCATGATTCAAAAAAGCAACACACAGTATATTTACTTCTGAAATTTATTTCAGGTGACAAGACACCCACAGACTAACAAAATAAACATAGAATTAAATAGTATCCCCAAAGCCCAATGCTACTTCTTAGCAAAGGCAGATGATGCTTTAGCTACCAAGCTTAGTCTATATTAGTGTGTCCATGTAATTGACCTCTTTCTCCTATACCCTCATTCCACCCCCTGCAAATTTGAGAGCCATTTTAACAACAGCACTAAAACAATTTCTCACTCGAAGATTTGAAGACAAAACACCTAGGATGGATACACCCAACCCAGAAAGTGTAAGAAGAGATGAAGAAATACAATCAGGGCTTTTGATGATATTAATTCTATAGTTAGAGGAAGGGAAGGAAGTGAGAGGGGGTGAGCGAATCAACATGCAGAAGAAAAACAGGAGGGGTTAATTTACCCTGAAAATAACCAGTATTCTATTTGTCCAGGCCCAATGAGAATTTGTGCCAAGCAATTTCATTCATTTCACGGTGCCTAGAACACTGATGACTGTGTGGTAAATATTAAACAAATACTTGTTGGTTGATGAAAATGTACATGGCAATGCCATACACACACAGGAAACAGAAACTCAAGGTGGTCAGACAAATTTGAAAGCAATGCAAGGTTTGGTTCTCCATGGTAATAACATTTTCAAGGCACACAACTGGGGAAGCAAATGAGATAAAAATTTGCCACATCCATAGCTCAACATGTTGTTCCTCTTTGAGTGCTAAAACTTTATTTGCAAAAGAAAAGCTAAGATTAGGTTTAAAATATTTTTAATTATATATACATAATATAATTTTAAAGACCAGTTAAGTTTTATTGCTTAATGTCTTTATGATTTAAAAAGGTTACTTGCTCAGGTTGGTTACATTTTAAATAGCAATATACCACTTGAAACCTTTAACACATAAGCACCCATTTACTGAACTAAAGCTAGCCTTGAACTTTTAGTAAGCCATATGCTTTTAAATTAACCCTTCTAAATACTGTACAAAGCTCATAACACAGACTGTTAGCTTATAGCTGAATTAGGTTACTACTAAATACTCATTAGGCAAACTATTGAAAATAATGAAACCATGCATATTCCTACAGCCCTATGAAGCCCGAAATTAAAAATGATACAGTGAGAATTTGGGATTAAGCAATTTGGCTGATCTCAATGGATTACACATTTTAAGTTGAACTAAAACCTCTAAGGACCTTTTCCTTTGGAAAGAAAAACCACACATTTTAAAATAGTATCTAATGGAAGGTCTATTAAAATCACAATGGATCATAGCTGTCAACTTCAAATAGTGTTTCTCTCCTTAAGAGCTTAAGTTTACACACTGGTGCAACACCACAAATGCAGATGCTACAAAGGGATCTACAGAGGAAAAACAAATTTTATTCACAACACTTTGCATATAAACTTTTCCTTCTGGAGACTTGTGTGGGGTTGAAAATAAAGGATGCTAATATGCACATTATGCAGCACATCAAGAAAAGAGAAAACACTTTAGTTGAGTGAAAATTCATTTATCTACTGAAAATCCGGGAGAATTCACATCCACTGTACTGCAAATTTACTCCTAAGTGACAGAAAAATACTATATGAAATGGAAAAAAAAATTAAATATGATTTAATCAATAGCTGATTACCTTTAAAACTTTGGGCTTCTTTTCCCTCTGGGGCCTCTTGTTTTCTTTTATAACCTAAAAAAAATCAAATTGCAAAATGAGCCTCCGTTTAAGAAAAAAAATTAGCTCCCACCCCCCCAAATTTTTTGGCTATTTCTCTAGAAAACTACTTATACCATTTAAAATCATCAACATGTTTGCTAGGCAGAACCTAAAGAGCTTATGTAAAATGTAGACTTTAAAAGTCACTGAAAAAAAGCCTTGCATAAAGATGAAGTAGGGAAATACCCTTTTTTCCCCTTAAAGTCTGTCTTAATTAGCCTCTGCATTCTTCACAGCGAAGCCCACGAGGTAGCCATCTTGCTTGCTTCTGCAGAGGAAGCCTCTACAGTGGAACAGTTCTGCAAACTGCTTTTTGGTATTATTATCATGGTGTTTAAAGGCAGCCCTGGCCTGCCAGCACTGTAGACGTGCTGGGCATGCCTTTTGCAAAAACAGCCCCACAAAGAGTGCAGCCAATGGCAATGCAGAGCTTAGCAACTCCAAAGTGATCTTCTCTGCTAGCCTTCCTAGACAAAGGATCTCCTGTGCGGCTCCGCTCTCACCACAGGACACAGGCAGCCACAAGCTGCGACATGGAGTGCGCTGCAGAGGATCTGGTCGCGCCGAAATCACAGGAGGCTTCAGCAAAAACAATGCACACAAATCCCCCAGGTCTCCGCCATCGGATCGATGGCGGAGGCTCCCTGATTAGTAACCTCTTGGCGGCTCCGAGGGCAGGTCTGCGCGGGGGGAGGGGTGCGCGGCTCTGCCTCCAACGTACAGGAGATATAACTGAGCCGAGGGGGGCATTTGGGCTTGCTGAAACTCTGGAAGGTATTGTGCATTTTTACTTTATAAGGCAAGGCTAAATATTGGCGATATTTAAGGCAGGGAGGTTATGTGAGGACAGTGTAGGCTCAGCTGTTGGGCTGCGTGTCTCATTCCCCGGGAACCACACCTCTTTGCAGCAGGCGCTTTGCCCAGAAACACAGCAATTTGATTTCTGTCAATAAATGTCCAATGACAAAGGCGGATTAGAAAATACTAATGAAGCCACTTAAAAGGAAAAGGACAGGATGAGGACAAGGAGAAGGGGAGGAGTTTACAAAATATACTTGCCACTCTGAGTGGCTGGAGAAAAAAAAAGACTTCTCTCTTGCTCTGCACATTTCTGGTGACCTTCATTTCCCAGAGAAAATTCCTACTGTCCCAAGGTGGGCTCAAACCTTTGGGATAGAAGGGGCACCTTTGGCTCCTCTGTCTCCCAAGATCATCAGCTGTCACCGAGCATCTCCCGGTGGAGCTGCCAAGTGGGTCCCCACGTGGAGCCTGTCTGCGCAGCAGGCTGATGGTCAGTCGGGGCCACCCACTTCCCAGGAATTGGGAGCGAAGCCAGAGGTGGCACAGGCAGCCACCCACACTCACGCACCTGGACTGCCACTGTGCCCAGTGGGTGGTAGGCACTGGGAGAGCTGGGCACCAGAGCCAGAACTTGCCAGACCCTGAGAGTGGCAGAGCCAGAGGAGTTCAGCTCCCTCCCCTTAAGCCCCCTGGCCAGGCAACAGTGGCAGGAGAAAAAGAACCAAGACAGCTGCTGTGAGCTGGCAGGTCTCAAGGTCACTGCCAAAATGTAGTGAAGAGGCCAGTCACAGTCCCATCATAGCCACCTTGACAGCTGCACAGATCTTGGGAAGACAGCCTCAGCTCCATCCTCCCAGGGCCAAAGTTTCAGCAACACATTTAGGGGATTGGCAGGAGGGCCTCCCTTGCTGCTCAGCCAAAGATGGGTTTTCCACTTGCAGTTGGATTCAGAACAGATTCCCACAACCAGAAATCAGGAACAGAGCGAGGGCCGGAAGGCCTGTATTTCATCACCCTGGATTCCTAGCCTTTCGGTTTGCCACAAAAGCACGCTTTTCTTGTTAGGATGGTAAGTCCAACATGCACTCTTTTCCGACTTTAAACTACCTCTCTCTCACCTACCCACCCTCAAATTTTTAACAAGTGTAAAAAGCAAGCCTCCTGGTAGCAAAACCAGTGGATTCTGACCTATCTACATCTTTCAGGGCAACTTCAAGCACACTGTGCCCACACCAAGAAGCTCTCTGTGGTGAATGAAGCATCCACGAGGCAGGTAGGAAAACAGGACGTAATACAACGAGATTTGAAAACGGCCCTGCATTTCTTTCTCTTTGAAGTTTGTGTGTGTGTGCATGATAAAAGATACATAACATAAAATTTGCCATTTTAACCATTGATAAATGTACAAATTTAGTAGCATTACATTCATTCACAATGTTGTGAAACTATTCCCCCCCCCCTCCATTCCCAGCTGTTTGATTATCCCAAACAGAAACTCTATATCCATTCCACAATAAGTCCTCATTCACCTTCTCTCAGCCCTGACTACCTTTTATTTTGCCTTCTGTCTCTATAAATTTGCCTATTCTAGTATATCATATAACTGGTGTCACACAATAGTTGGCCTTCACTTCATGTAATGTTTTCAAGGTTCATCCATGTTCTGAGATTGTCACAATTTCATTCCTTTTTTTTTTTTTTTTTT